ACGTTTGTTCGATTTCATTCGAATGATTCTCTGTGCCGTGAAGGTAGCTGCTGTTTGTACGTCTCCCTCTTTTGTTAACTCCTTCCGTGCATTCTTCTTCCCCTTACGTGATGACTTTTTTCTTTCTGTCGGTGGTCATGTTCTTACCTTTTCAAATCGTCCTCTCCTTCTGACGTGTCGTTGCATCTGTTATCGGGAAAGATCTCGAACTCCCTGTAGGGGTTTTGATATTTTCGGGTTGGTACTTGGTCAAATCACTGCATTGTTATAGATTCTCTTTTTCGTAACCCGTCTTGTTCATCCTGTGACGGAGATCGGTCCGTCGAATGACTTTGGGGAGTGTCCTACTGTTTTGTTAATTTGCTTTTCCTGTTTATCAGATAATCAATTGCGTTATGGGCCCCGTCTTGAATCCCTTTTCCTCTCGATTCCGATTTTCGTTTAACCATTCGTCTCATCGTCCTGATGTCTTTATCCGATTAGAACGCCCAGTGGTGAGATCCGCATTTGCTGCACATTTCAGTCCAGATACACCCACAATAACTGAGCGTTCTATTCGGGTGAAGACGGAATCGCAGGCGTGTACACTGCTCTTATCTGTTTCGTCGGAGTCTTTGCTGGCCTCTCCCTGCTACCGTGTTCACACGAACAGAACGCCCGTTATTGGTGTATTTGGGGCTACTTCCAGACCAGATGCGGAGATAATGAGCGGGCGTTTTTCTTCGGATGAAGACGGTAGTCGGCGCACGGGACCTTTTATTTTTGTCTTGCCATCTGTTTTCATTCCATTTGTTGCCTCTTGGTCTGCCTTGCGATTTGTACGCTGTCGTTGGTTTCATTATACCATAGTGTATGGACTTACCCGTCAATCCGTCGTTCGTAGGAGATCTAATGTTGGTTTTTGTCTTGTGGCATTTGAATGTTGTTTTTGTGCAGCAACTTGAGTTGATTCCTCAGATGGCCCAAGGAGTTTGGGCAGAAAACCCTCAACAGCAATTGGAGGCGACGACTTCGTTCAGGAAACTGTTGTCTATCGGTGAGTGGGGAATTGGTCGGGAGCGAAGAGTCTTATAGTAACATTATTAGAACGACGAAGAGATGGTACGATGAGAGAATGATCTGGAGAGGCCGTCTTGTAGAGGCAGTGGTGAACCAGAGATTTCTTGTGGCGTAGTTGGAACAGGTAGTCGTTTTCTTGTTCGATTCCCGCGTTGGCGTCCGAGTACGTCCTTGCTATAAAGCATTCTGGATCTCTAATTTGTTTTCTTGATTTTCGTATTTCAGAAATGAGATCGGTAATTACAGCTGCAATAACCGCGTTGTTTGCTTCATGGGGAGGTGGAGAGGTAGAATTCCAGCAGTCTGCATGGTATATGTACATCTTTGGAGTGTTATGTTCTATTCCTTCTCTTGTATTGGGAAAATCGCTTTTTTGTGACATACGTGGGAACATAACACTTTCTATCGGCAGGCTTTTCTATTGGGAAGTGTGATATACGGTGTTTAGAGGTCTCGGCAGGTTTTTCTATTGGGAAGTGTTATGTTCCCACGTTTACAGTATTGTGGTTTTTGTAGATGCAATAGCTCTCGGCAGGCTTTTCTATTCTTCTGCGAACATTACCTCTTTATTACCGAGTAACGGTGCCCTCTTCTCCTACGGGTATAGGTGGACTGGCTCGCGGTGCTCTGTTCTCCTAGGTACCCCAGCTCGCGGCAGGTTTTCTTATTCGCATGGCAGAACTGCGCCTTGATGTCTGAAGGACGGTGTTTGTGTGTACATGGCTGTCTACTTCTGCAGAGAGGAGTCCGCCTATTGAGGAGGTCATCAGAGCTGGAGTCGTTCCGCGGTTTGTGCAATTCCTGCAGAAGTACGACTTTCCTCAACTGCAGGTAATGTAACTTTTATCAAGTAAGATCCTAGTTGAACGAGTCTGAATTTCTCCGAATTATGTATTCTGCTTAACACCTCTCGTTGTTGTGGGGTTTTTAGAGCAGGAGTCCTGTGATTTATGCAGTTTTGGAGTACGACTTTGGATAGTAGCCACTATATATTCTTGTGACGAGTATGGACGTTCCTAATCACAATCCTGTGATGAGTATGGACGTTCCTAATCACAATCCTGTGATGAGTACGGACGTTCCTAATCACATTCCTGTGATGAGTATGGACGTTTCTAATCACATTCCTGTGATGAGCATGGACGTTCCTAATCGCATGTAATTTTCAATGCCGAGAAGGGTAGATGCCATTTTACAGGGAACGAGCCAATGCCGCTAACTCCTTAGAAATTATGGTAACCTCTTCTCTGTGCTTGTCAAGGGGAGATGCCATTTTACAGAGAACGAGCCAATCTCGGTACCTCATTAAAAATTATGGTAATATCAGTATGGGAAGAAAATAAGGTGGCCTGAGCTTCCTTGATGTTTTCTAGAACGCAGTCGTCACTCCTGTTAATTGGCCAGCGGCAGGTGAAGTCGCGGGCCTTCTGTGTCATCATTGTCAAGGAGAGATGTCATTTTAAATTTAATTAGGGAATATCGAAATTTAATTACCGCCACTTTCCCACTTTTTTTTTTGTTCAGACTTTCTACCTTACGTGTCATTGTTTTCGTATTCAAGGGAGCACGGTATCATTTGCCTCGTATGTTTGCTGTGTTATTTGATTGCTAATTCGTGGTGTGCCGTTCTCGGGCATGATGGATGTTGGTGCAGTTCGAGGCGGCCTGGGCATTGACAAATATTGCCTCTGGAACATCAGATCACACTCGGGTCGTCATTGAGCACGATGCAGTGCCGATCTTCGTCCATCTTCTCAGTTCTCCAAGCGACGACGTGAGAGAGCAGGTATGCAGCCCTCCGATGGAGAGATAGTGGCCCTTCGACGCGTTTTTGGATGTAGAACTTGAAGGGTGTATTTGAGTCACTGCCTATGGAAATTCTTTGTGAATGTGGGTATCGGGTTCTGCCGTGAAGGGGATTTCCTTCGTGAATGTGGGAATCGGGCTCTGCCGTTGAGGGGATTTTGGCTTCTGGTCTGGTCTCGCTTTCGTGTGATTTGTCGTGCTATTGCGCGACCCCTTTTCTGATGTGGTCAGTGATCTTCTTTCCTGCAGTGTTCGTTTTTGTGTCCTTGAACCTTCATCGGGTAGGTTGACGTGTTCGTCGCTCCGTCCCTTTCGAATTGTGCCTTAATCGGCTGGTTTGACGTGTTCGTCGATTCATCCTGTGGCTTGTCTGTACAGGGTGTTTTGTATGGCTTTAATACGGAGCGAGTGTTAATGTGACTGACTGTAAAAGACATGATGATGATGTGAGAGGTTTTATGAATTCAAACCTGTATCCGATGCAGAGATAATCAGGCTGCATACTTGAATGGACGAGTTGATTGTGTCTTCGAATGATGCAGTGATGTTCACTTCGTCTCTCGAGGCATCAGGCTGCGTACTTGAATGGGCGACTTGATCTCCTCTCCGAATTATGCAGTGATGTCTACCTTTTCTTTCGAGGCTTCCCCCGGTTGCCTGTGTAGTGTGTATGGATTTATGAATACTAAGTGTTCATTCGACCACGAGAGACGTCCGTTTCAGGGAGAGGGTTCACGAATGTTAACAGTCATCCCGTGCAGAGATCATAAGGCTGTTTCCTTGCGTGATGATGTGATGGTGAGGAGGGGATTATTGCAGTGATGTTTACCTCGTCTTTTGAGGCATCCGGGGTTGTCTGTATAGTGTGCATGGCTTTATGAAAACTAAGTGTTCATTCGACCACGATAGACGTCCGTTTCTGGGAGAGGGTTCACGAATGTTAACAGTCACCCCGTGCAGAGATTACAAGGCTGTTTCCTTGCGTGATGATGTGATGGTGAGGAGGGGTTTATTACGTTGGGCCGTTGAGCAGGGGGGTTGCTTCCCGTTCGTATCAGTCTTTATGATGGATTTTTGTTTGCGGTGTTGCGGTGAGACTTTTCGTCACATTGATCTTTTCCTCACTGCTTAGCTTCCTTTCCATTCCACCGTCGTCTTGATTTGCACTCTTTCCATTGATCGTAATCTGTTGCTTGTTTCTCCAATGTGTGCTCCCTCCCGTGCTCTGTATGTTCCTCCAATGGGTGCTTTTCGTGCTAGGGCTTGTCCTTACCGTGCGTGCTTTGTTCTGCTGCACTTACCTTAGACTGTGGAGCCACTTTCTTGTTGTTCCTATCGTTGCGACGATCACACCGCTCTACCGTGCTCCTTGTAAGCTGCTTTTCTCATGAATGGTTTCGCTGATCTTTCTGTGACCGTCCCTAGGTAATTCATGATTATGTTGTTTTGGTAATCTGTTTGCATCTGGACTCTGGTAATTCACTACCATCTTCCCCTGAGCACAGCGCACCATTATTTAGACTATCAGGCCGGAAACGTACCTCGTATACGTTCACTTCCAGGGTGCGTTATGTCCGGGGGAAGGCTGTAGCAAGTTGTTACTCGGATCTCTATGTCAGTCGTTCATGGCAGTGCCAACTGATCTAGGCCCGATGATGACGCTTCTTTTTTCTTAGTTGGCCGCCCTAAGTAATTTAAAGTATGTTTTGGTAATCTTGCTGCATCTGGATTCGCACTCAGGTATGTATTTCAACAGTTCATGTGGGTGCCAACTGAGCCAGGCCTGTTAGTGACGTCTTATAAGTTAGGGCAATGGGATAGCCTTGGTTACGTTTTTAGTGTACCTGTTTGGTCTTGTCTGTACTGAAGATAAACTTTTCGGTTTTGTTCCTTGATTTGCAGGCCGTTTGGGCGCTGGGTAATATTGCTGGAGATTCGCCGAAGTGCAGAGATCTTGTCCTTAGCCACGGTGCTTTGCAGCCGTTGCTTGCTCAACTGAATGACAATGCGAAACCATCCATGCTCAGGAACGCTACCTGGACTCTGTCGAATTTCTGCCGTGGCAAGCCTCAGCCATCTTTCGAGCAGGTAAGCCGTCGCTGCTGTTGCTGTTTTTCTCGTTACTTGGAGTACTTGAAGTTGATGTAGAGGATGTCTCTTGTTGAATAATGTCAGTGCTGGAAGGTGGGATTTCTGATGCGTTTCGTTTATTTTGGCCTTCTTTTTGCAGTCAAAGCCAGCACTGCCTGCACTGGAGAGATTGATTCATTCCACAGACGAGGAGGTTCTCACTGATGCCTGCTGGGCATTATCATATTTGTCGGATGGGACGAACGACAAGATTCAAGCCGTCATCGATGCTGGAGTGTGCAGACGTCTGGTTGAACTTCTCATGTGAGTCTATCTCCAGTGCGGCTTCTGGCTTCAATCACAAACCTAGGTAGAAACAAAGAACGATGTGAAAGACAAACAGCAAACTGTGCTTTGTGTGGGTTCGCTGAGTTGATATTGTTAATTAAAAGCCGTCTTCTTCCGGTTATGTACGGTTTGTGGTATTCGTTAGCGAATGTGGTGTCTCTGTTTGCATTGTTTCTCGTTGAAGTGTTGCTTTCTGTGGTACCAATGATCCTGTACGCATCGATGAAGTGTAATCTTTGAAGGCGTCGGCTGGACCATGGTGATATGTTATTTGATTGACTAACGTAGTTTTTTTGAGTGACTAACAAAGTCCTTCGTTTTTTTCCCCTTTTTCTCCTACGGAATGTGTGGTCCAGGTATCCTTCCGCAACAGTGTTGATTCCCGCCCTGAGAACTGTCGGAAACATTGTCACTGGGGATGACGTGCAAACACAGGTGAGATTCCATTATCATTGAGACTAGAGGTGTATAGGCAATGGTGCCTTTTTGTTGAAAACCGGTACATTTACTTTCGTAACCCTTTCGTTTGAGATTCCATGATCGTTGACACTCATGGTAGGCAGGAAATGGTACCTCTTTTCATTTACTTCCGAAACCCTTTCGTCGAAAACCGGTACCCGTTAAATTTACTTTCGTAAAGCTCCTTTTACCCTTTCTGATGGGATATATGGCTCTACATTCTTTTTAGCTACTGGATTCCATGGCTTAATGTCATTGTAGGAACCATTTTTCTTATTATCTGTTTTGTTCGTCAGTACATGGGCTTTTCGTTGAAAACCGGTACGTCTTTTTTTTGCTTTCGTAACCCTTCCGTTTGAGATTCCATGATCGGTGAGACTCGTGGTAGGTAGGCAGTGGTACCTCTTCGTTTAAAACCCCTACCCCTTTTATTCACTTCAGGAAGCCTTTCGTTTACTTCTGGAACCCATTTCGTTTGGTTGGCATGGACACGTGATAGCATTCGTTTACTTCTGGAGCCCATTTCGTTTGGTTGGCATGGACACGTGATAGCATAATGTAGCACAATGTTTAATAGGACGGCGATGGTTGGGCGAGAGAGGTTGAAAAAGCTGACCAAGGGGTGGGAGTACGACGACCAGCTGTCTTAAGTTGTTGGATGTGTTGGATGTGTTGCATGCTCCACGATGGTGGCATGGATTTCGTGCATGTTGAGGGGGAGACCATACGAGTTGAAGGAAGCCAACAGGAAATTCAGTTTGGAGGCTGTGTTAAATGCTGTCTCGGCTGAGTGTGATTTTGGCAATGGTGTGAACGGTGTTCTTGCGGTGTACAGCAGTGAGAGTTGATGACGAATGATCTGTACTGTGTTCTGTTTTTCGGCAGATTATCATCAATAACCAGGCACTCCCTTGTCTGCTGGAGCTGCTGAAGAACAATCACAAGAAGAGCATCAAGAAGGAAGCTTGCTGGACGATCTCCAATATTACCGCTGGCAACAAAGATCAAATCCAGGTGACTGATTTGTGTAATCCCGGGTTCTTGCTGTCAATCATCTTTCTAAGAACGATTCGTCGTCTTGTGTTAGGTTGGTGTCTCTTCTCCAGATCGCGTTTTCGGGGTATTGAAACGGTGGCCGGGGGGTGAGGGGCACCTCCATTACCCAAATGTGACGGTCTCTTTGTCAGACCTCTTGTGGAAAATTGCGCGGGGTTTTCGATTTTACTTCCGGTTCTCCCGCAATAAGCTCTGTGTTTGTTTTTAGCTGTGTCAATGGGTGCCAAATCGACAGTTACAATGGAGATATTGGATTTGAAAGAGGGGATGGCACATGTACTATGGTCAGGTAACTCGACAGTGCGATATGTCTACGTACCCCCGAGCGTCTTCTGATTCACCATCTTGCGAGGGTGTGTTATTCCCTGGAGCAGTGATGAAATGGGTGTTTAGTTTCATCTGGCGATTCGTCTTACGTGGTGGTAATGCTGCCTTTGTATTGGACTGCATGGCTCATCTTGGAATCTCTTTTGTTGCGCTTTTGTACTGGAATCATTTGTTGCGCTCCTATACTGGAATATCTTTTGTTGAGCAGTGAGGAGTTTGGGTTTTAGGTTCATGTGACGATGGTGGAAATGTCGAAGATGGTGGTAATGGTGCCATTGTTTTGGATTGCTCTGCTCACCCGGGTATCTCTTTTGCTGTGCTCTTTCAGGCCGTTGTTGATGCCAACATCATTCCTCCTCTGATCAACTTGTTGGCGACTGCGGAATTCGATATCAAGAAGGAAGCTGCCTGGGCCATTTCTAATGCAACCTCTGGTGGGACCCATGAACAAATCAAGTAAGCGACCTTCATAAGTTTCTCCACATTTTCGTCGTCTGCATTTCAAATCGGTCGTATTTGATTCTGTTCCATTGACTGCGGAATTATGATTGATGGCTTGCTTTATTTTTGTTTGAATACGTGTAGGATGGGGTCATTCAAGTGGCGGGCTACTGAAAGGACTACGTTCAGCATCCGACCTCTACAACGACATGGGGATTTGTTTTGACATCTGGCTTTAGTTGTGTTTGTATACGTGTAGGATGGGGCCATTTAAATGGCCGATTACTGAATTGATATGTCCAGCATCCAGGATGGGGCCATTGAAAAAGGCCGATTACTGAATGGATATGTCCAGCATCCTGTGTATGTTTTGATACTATTGTGACGAGGATTAAATTTGTCGTCGGTGTAACGACTGATGTGTTGTGATGGTTTTGGGATTTCTAATGAATGGCATTTTTTGGCGATTGTGGCGTGTTGGATTGTTGGTATGGTGGTGTGCGACTGCAGATACCTCGTGAGCCAGGGTTGTATCAAGCCTCTGTGTGACCTGCTGACGTGTTCGGATGCACGTATAGTTACGGTGGCGCTGGAAGGTTTGGAGAATATTTTGAAGGTTGGGGAGGCGGAGAAGGAATTGGGAGAGACAGGTGGCATCAACTTGTATGCGCAGTACATTGATGAGGCTGATGGCTTGGAGAAGATCGAGAATCTGCAGTCCATCAATAACAACGAGATTTACGAGAAGGCAGTGAAGATCTTGGAGACGTACTTCGGACTGGAAGACGAGGACGACCAGAATCTTGCTCCGCAGATGACTGCAAGCAATCAGACTTATGCGTTCGGCGGCGAAGCACCCATGGTGCCGACGGATGGCTTCCAGTTTGGCTAAGCAGGTAAGGTCGGAAAGCCCCTTGGGAGCATGAAGGGTCACGTTGTAGGCAGTATGGATGTGGCGGCTTTTGCAGTGTTTTTTGAAGGTGTTTTGAGGGTTATTTATTGAATGGGGTGCTGAGCTGTTCTTCGAAGATTTATATTTTTGTTAAGGGGTGTGAGTTAGTTGTGCGTGACACGATCTCGACGGTGATGTGTGCGTTTGTAGCGGCTCATTGGATGATACAGCCTGGAGCCTGTGGGAGATCGGGGGACACAGTAGGGGGAAGTAAAAGATCTCTCCTGCTGTTTGTGAATATCATATGGAGGGGTTGTATGAATGCGTAGAGATTCGCGGACACAAACATTCGACGTGTTTGTTTAGAGTTGTGGACCAGATGCATATGGACTAGTCCAGTTTTCCCATGTTTGGGGACTATTCCTGCTCCCAATTCATTTAGAACGGTGTGGCGGAGCCACTGCTAAATGAACGGTGTGGTGGAGCCACGGCTATCGATGGGTAGAGTACACGTGGCAGTTGTGAACGATGTATTTGCTGAGATCGTTGAGAGTCGGAGGGTTTCCTGAGGTTCATAAATTATGGGTCGAGTATACTTGGTAGCTTCAGATTCAGATAGAAAGTACGTTCTGGGTGATTAGGTGCATCGGTGCAGGTTTTGGTTCCATATCTGTTGGATGGGGCTATTCTGCGAATCAGCAATGAATGGTAGCATTTGTTTTCGCGTTGCAGAAATGAAACGTTTATTCATGTTCGGTTTGGTTGAGTAGAGAGAGGGCGATTTGAAATAGCATGGTATCATATGTTTCTCTTGAAAAGGTCCTTTCATCGAAAGCAGTTTCGGTGTGATTTGCTGCAACAGGGCAGTTTTTGTTTCTATACGTGTTTGGTGGGGTGATTCTGCGAATGCCTGCGTGGTGTGCGTAGACTGATCGTTCCATGAATCTGTTGCTTGCTGTTGGATGTGTTTTCGGTTCTGTGCAGATCAGGTGAAGTGGAGCCCGTGTGGTGAGGTGCGGGTCGAGGTACCTCTGTGCTGCTGCCCCCCCGACATTTTTCAAGAGAAGTGCTTGATGGTGAATGCGGGAAAGGGGTTGCAGGATTGAACGGTCCGAATGTGAGAAACGCTCAGAATGAAGATGTCCCTTGTGACCTTTCTGCCCCCTTTTTCGCCGATGGCCTTCTTGCCGACATGGTACTGCAGTGGGTAGTGTACACGTATAGAGACATGCACAGAACATGGTCATCCTGCTGTTCGATCGAAGGGAGTTTGTTGTCGTCTGCCATGGCTGTAGTGCTGGTATGCGTTGGGCAGAGATGTCGCTACAGTCATCGTTGCAATGAACGTGGTCCTCCCTCGGAACATGCAGGGTATTTTTCCCGGTTTCTGTTTTGATTTGTTTGTTCTCTGTTTTGGTTTTGTTTTTGTTTTTTGTTCGGGATGACGATTGCCCACCCCCGCTAACAGGATTCTAGTCGAGGTGGATGCCTTGGCTCCCCCACCCATCCCCCTCTTCTGTTCCCCCCCTTCCCCTTTTCTCCAGCCAGAAAGCCCGCTTCAAGCGCGCTCTTCTGACTTGCACTGTGTAGTCAAGTCGTAGGAGATTGCTGCCTTGGCCAGCGTTGCCGAGGCTCACAGAGAGTCGTAGATTCTACCTATAGCCTCAGTGACATACTGCATGCCACGCTGAGGCATGCGTCGGCCGCACGCAATAGTTTGTTGCGTCGGCCCACATCCTTTACCTCTCCCCCTAGTCTCTCATGGGATTGTGCTCTGGACAGAGCCACCCTCTCCCTGCAAGGTTGCTGCTGAAAGGAGTGCTGGAACCCCTTTTGGCGCGCTCTGCCTTTCTTTGAAGTATGTCGACTAACACTTGCGATGCGGAGTGGATCTGATCATTCTGATGATGATGATGATGATGATGATTCCGTGGATTTGCTGATGTGGGGTGCCGTGTCTTTTATTGCACCGAGCACCTACTTAACCGATTGATTGCGATCTGATATTTGTTTTTCTCTGCTTTGATGAGTCTTCCTGCCTTTCGGGATCTCCTTGTCTGATTTTATGCCTTTGCATGTGCATTTTCCCCGATGCTTGATTGATGATGATATTGTGATTAACTGATTCATTACCCCATTGCAATAGAGTAACACGTGTCCATTTTTGAACCCTTTGATGACTTGAATGTAGGTAGTTGACGATGAACTAAGCTTAGGCCTGGATCTCGAAAACGCGACTTTATTACCGTTCTGATGGGATCTAACATGTCTGCTTGCTGTAGCCATGTTCTAGTGGTGATGATGTTTTTGTGGAGGCGTGGGGGAGAGGCAGCAGGAGAGGAGCTGGAGCAGGAGCAGGACCAAGGTGGCTTCAAAAACATACCTTGAGAAGTCAGCAGGCACGCGTCTCCCTGTTATGTTCGGTGGCGCTTGTGGGTGCCATTGATATTGCAAGGGAAACGTGTCTGCGACTTACCATAGTATGTCGTTGGAGTTGCCCTTCTCTTCTCTTCACAGTGGCCATGATGGTTACTCTCGTGTACATTGCTTTTCCAGGGCAGGGGAGTTCTTTCAGTGTGACTGTCTGTTTTGGCAGTTTTCACGAAGATGGAGCGAGGGCTCTATTGATTGCTTGATACCTTTGGATGGACCCCGGAGTCGTCGATCATACGAATTGGGAGGCGGGGATCCGACCGAATCGTCCATGGATTGGAACGTTTAAAGAGAGAAGTCCTGATTTATAAGTTTGAAGTGCTCTGAACGGGAGCGAGGCAGGATGTCGGTGGATGCGGCTTGGCTTTGCAGTGTGAGTTTTGTGAATTTTGTGTCCGTAGCCTCGGAGAAGGTTTGTTTGTGTATGCCCTATGCCCCTCCCTTAGTCCCCAGGATAACGTGAGGGGACCCTTCGGAATGGGTGGGGGGGCGTGGAAGGATCTTGACTCTGCTGTTTTGTGAGCGGGTAGGTTGTTTTGACGACTCGTTGAAGTCGGGGCGAGCGAATGGAGGTTGGTTCGGATGGTCGTATGTGGTGTTTTGGAGGTGGTGTGAGCAATAGCCAAGTGCTGGGGGAGAGTAGGCAGTGGGCGGGTAGGCTAGGTCAGTTGTAGGTTGGTGCAGGCCTGGGGCTTGCTGAACAGAGCACTAGATGTATTTGTGAAGTATATCCGATAAATATAAATGTGCGATGGTCGTATGAAAGGAGTAGCGATGTCGAGAGTGAGAAACTGAAACAGTTACGAACGGTTGCAATTCATTGTTGCTCTACAAACGGACTGGAAGAGGTCTCGCTGTAGGTGTGGGATATAATGAGGAATGGAAACAGAGATATGGTGTGCATTATTGTCGTTCTCCATCTCTTGGTGAAAATCCTCTGTGCCTATGTGACGTCATTTCTGTCTGAATTGTTGTCCTTTTGAGTCAGGGTTGATGAGTGGCAGTGCCACGTGCTGTTGATCTGCCGGAGTTCGTTGTTGGGGTGCTCGCTTCCGTCTTCTGGCAGTCGTTACTGTCTGAATTGTGGTCCTTCGAGTCAGGGTCGATGAAAGGGGGGTGTGAATTCCGGTGATACGTCTGTGGTGGCAGGAGAATCGGGGGGCGGGGGTGTTATTTCGTTGCGTGTATGGCGAAGATGTGGAGTCGAGGGTGTTGGATGAAGTAGAGGAAGATCAGTCCCCAGTTATAATGGACCTCTTGAGTATATATGTGGAAATGGAATATAGCGTTCATAATCTTAGAGTTTACAGTTTGACTGGAATAATATGGGCAGAACGGTGCGAATTAAAAAACACCGGGCTAGTAGTGCGCACTCGTTACGTGTAAATTGGTGGTTGGTGGTTGTTTCTTTGACGTGAATAAGTGTCCTGAATTCTTCGTTGACGTTGTTCTCTATTGAGGGGTTTGTGGACGGATTAAGAGTAGTGCATTCCAGGGGTGCGATAGCGGTGTTCGTTTGAGGCATTGTTACCTGTGTGTTCAATGGCCATCGGATAAGCTGTTTAAGGGCCAATTGATCTGAAGGGGTAAATGGGTTAATGATGGAACTGGATGCGAAGATCTTTGACAATCGGTGAAGTGGCGAAGGTAGTCTGTTCTACATGTCGGGCAATGTGTGCTTGTTAGTGGCCATTAATCGGTAGGTGTCGTGAATCGATCTCTTACGAGCAGATGTATTGCGTTAAACGTGATGTGGAAAAGAGGTCCTGTGCACAAAATCGGTGTCACTGTCACACTTACCACGATGGTGCGGATGAAATAAAATAATTCGGAATTACATGGGGGCTGGTCAGTTGCACAACCGAGTTTGGAGGCCCGCAAAACTGACCACTGAATCCGCGTGTTCGAGAGATTTAGCGCACACACTTAAAAATGACCCCCGAGTGCTCGTGGTTTGAATGCCCCTACTTTTGTAGGCCCTTAAAAATGACACGGAACTAGAAACATGAAAAGAACGACAGGTCGAAATGGCTGGTCGTTGTGGGCCACTGATATGTGGAGAAAAAAGGGAAAACGAGTAAGCGCCGGTGTTTCGAAGTCTCTGGAAAAGGTGTCCTGGGTGTGTCAGATGATGGTAGATTCTCTCTTTCTAAATGCCGGTTCTAATCCGAAACAAAAGGAATCATGGCAATAAGATTACAAAACATAAAAGTAAAAAGTGACAAAGATGAAAGGAAATAATCGTTGTTTGCTGTGTCACATTGTAGAAATCCCGATGTTGGGGAATGGAAGTTTCTCTCTACACCTCTCGGGACATCCGTTAAAATTGGAAAGATATAGAAGATTAGCATGGCTCCTGCGCAAGGATGACACGCATAAATCGAGAAATGGTCCAATTTATTAAAAAAAAAAAAAAAAAAAAAGAATCGGCCATTCTTCAGGCCACCGAAGAAAAAACCGAGCTGATTCAGGCTACCACTGAAATTAAACTGTTTAGGAAACGATGATTCGAAGTTGGCTGTTGTTTGGTATTTCGAACCTGTTGCCTGGAGTACTACCTGGGCTACGGCGGTTACACAATGATGTGAACCGGCGACCACGGACTTTCTGTTACCCGTTTGTTGCCGCTGCTATTCTCCTCGAAATGCCTGACGATTGCCTCATACAGGCAGTGGACTTCCGGGTGAGGAGGGAACAGGCTCTATTATACAGTGGGGTGATCGGTGGTCGCATGTCTATATACGTATGTTGTCGTGTGCGTTGACGTACTCGAGCTTCAAATCAATGTCCTCAAAAGCAGGGATGATGCCTTCGTGTTTCTACAAGAACACCGAAAAACCGCATCTCAGCTCGAAGCCGAGGAGCGTTCAGCGTATGTTGTGTGGCACTCGAGGTATTTTTGCCAGCAAAACCTTGGTCTAAAAGTCTTCTAAACATTTCCAGCCCTGTATCAGCAGTACAAGTTTTATCGTTTAATTAATTCAACAAAGTCTCAAAGTCGTTCCCGAGCCAGCCAGATCGGTTGGTTTACCAGTTCGTTGGGACTCGAGGTGCCGTAGTAGTTCTCGAGACGGGTCGGTGGGGAGAACCCGTTTGAGCAGCTGACAGCTCGTCTTGGTATTCCCGTGGGACCGGTGACAGCTTGTATTGGTAGTGCCGTGGGACCGGTGACATCTTGTCTCGGTAGTGACGTCGGACCGGTTTTAATTTTTGGGCCAGAGGTTGTCGAAGCAGGCCTGCTGCGTAGTGTTGACTTAGGAACGACGACGTCGAACTGGGTTCTCCCCCTGAATTCCAGGGAAGGCTTCGCAATGTGGGTCCACAGCATGTAACTATTCATCTGGTTCAGCAGAGACGTTTTCCCAATGGGCGCGGGGGCTTGCAGACCTTTCAGGGCGCGTTCCCGGATACGCATTCCAATGGGCCCACGGCAGAGATGTTTTCCCAGGCCATTGAGTTCTCCATGCGAGCTGTGGGCCCACAACGGTCCTACGTGAAACTGATTCTCCCTTTTTTGATAGCAGGTACATAACGAATGGTTCAGTCCACGTCGGACCAAAATGGAACTTTATTTTATCTGTTGACCTTAAGCGGTAAAAAAAGACCATCCGTTGATCTAAAGCGGTAAAAAAGACCATCCGTTGATCGAAAGCGGTAGAAGGCCATCCGAAGATCTAATGCGGTAAAAGATTATCCGTTGATCTAGCGCGGTAAAAGATTATCCGTTGATCTAAAGCGGTAAAAGACATCTATACGTGGATGTGTTAAGGGTGTAAAGATAATATCCCTTATACCGGCGGACTCCCTTTGAGGTCTGCGTTGCCGACTCTGAGCTTGTCTCTTTTTGTTTTTTTTCCTACTTTTCGTAAGTTTTTCTTTTGGGAGGTAACAAGATAAAAGTATGTTACCGAGCAAGGGGAAGCCGGGAACCTTCCAGAAAAAATCAGGATGTACAGGGGTCGGAACTCGGCTTAGCCTAAAAACTTAAAATCGGGTCCAGCACCCCTTCTCTCTTTTCCCAGCAACTCCAAAAAGAAAAGCTAGAAGCTCTGGAATGAAAGCGTGGGTGTGGGGTGGGCCTGTAATGAAAACCATGGAAAATCCGCCGGGCACTGGCGCTCCTCTGCAATGATTACTCCAGCCGTCCTTATTTACATAAGTCGAGAAAATGTAGGCCCGCCCAGAAATCTGATGCGGCTGCCGTCTTATCTTAACAGCACCTTTCAGGGTCTGTCATGAGTGTCTGACAACAACGTACGTATCTCCATCCTTCCATCCTGATTTATCGAACAGTAGTCGAAGGATTCTTTCGAATACAGGCATCAACAGAGCGTCATTAGCACTTCGAAAGATATTCACGACCACAGACAAGGTATGGTACGGAGAAAAAGAGAGCAGAAATTGAGAGAGAACGAGGGAAAATAAAGAAACATACAAGAGAGAGGGGGAGAGGGAGAGTAGACGCCTGTCTGGCAATAATCCCCGAACGCTACTTGAGATTAGGTTTAATAGAAGTGCATTATGAGGGCTTGACCTGAGTGGTTTCGACTGGTCTACAAAGAAGTCTTCAGGTGTATTGTAACCGACGCAGGTAATAACGAATCAGCTGTGGTGCGTTGGCCTCTATAGTAGTGAAGTTTCGATCTAAGGGATATTATCTTTAGAGGGATATTGTCTTTGTGTGCTGACCTATACAGATAGGTGTTGACGTAGGTAGTGGTGAAGTTCGGTGACTTGATGATACTTTCGCGAGTCGAAGATTCGAGTACAGGTGTTTTCGAAGTGTTGTTTAGTTGTTGGAAGTTGAGAGCATGCAACTTTGGTGGAGGTAGCCGTGTGTTTTTCGTAGTAGACTAAGGCAAGTTGGTGGCTGTGGTTATGGTAGCGGTACGCAGGTTTTGTACACTGTACAGACTTATATAAATGCAAAGCCTATTCGGTATTTAGGTGCGTCGGCTACAAGATGCCTGAGGATGACTTCTTGAGTGGTACAAACGACTGTACAGGGAACAGTCCGAACAGAAAAATGATGATGACAATGTGAACACCCTGAATCATGCTATGGTTCGAAACTCACATAGAAACAATAAACATCAAGTATAGGGTCCTGCAAATGGACACAAACTGTTACAAATAGACCTGCTTATTTCCAACATCAGAAAGGGGAACTACTGCAGAATCGGAATAACCGTTGGGATGCCCAGTTGAGTGAGAAGAAAGGCCAACACAAGAAACGTATGTAAAAGTCTGTGCACTACGAAGAAAAGAGAGACTGGGCCTTGCCACACGGCACACGAAACGGAAACGAAATGAGGGCGTCTGACCAAGGAAGGTGACAAAATGTACTCGGTACTATTTATAGGAAACCGATGAACGTGGCCATTTTCTGGCCGAAATGCACTCGTTTTGTTTTGTATCGCGTGTTGTGCAGCGACGACCAATAACATCTATTGTCTGTTTTTTACTAAAGTCCTGAACAGTTGGAAAACCCAGTGAGTCCTTACGGGAAGAAAACACAGTTGAGACTCGTACCGGCAGGATGTCGTAGTTCTTGCGAGTGGCAAAACAATCCACCTGTGCCGAATGTGCACCGATCGTAATAACACAGCCGATGAAATTCCAAGTGTTAACACTGCTCGTCCTTTTCAGAGTCAGATTATGGTTGTAACATCCTTCCAAAAGACTCAATAATTTTTGCAAAGGACTTAAATTTCTCAGGCTGCTGGTACGAGTCTGCATTGTGTTGCTGGTAGAAGGAAAATGGAGACATTGTTCTCTACAATATGGAAACAATGGATTGACCTTTTCCTTGCTTTTCTGAATAGTCGTGAAACAGGAATTCAGAGAAGGCACATAACAAACAACCCAATGAAAGGCGTGTGGATTTGCCCATGGGAATGCTAATCTTCTGGTGCAATAGCCGTACAATAAGGCTTTATGAACGTAATGTCGATTTTGAAAACCATGTACTGAGTGTTTTGGTCACGACTGCCTTCTTTCCACGCATTCGAATGCACAAAAAAGTGGAATCATGATAGGGACTCGATAGTGTTTTGGCAATGAATCCTTTGAACGAGTTGATTTTCACTCTATAATAAATTGCATAAAGAATAATTGGAACGGATGTAAAATGTCAGTTTATATCTATTATTACTGGAATGTTTGAATTATTGGAGGGAGATTTGAAAGACATCTCTTTAACCTCGAAGAAGGCACCTACCAAGGACTCGTCCTATATCTGGAATGTTCGAATTATTGGAGGGAGATTCGAAAAACAATCTCTTTAACCTCGAAGGAGGCACCTACCAACGATTTGCCTTCCCTTGAATCGCATTCAGCTTCCTCAGGCTCGTCACCAAATCATTCGTAAAAAAGATTAGGTGCAAATCATAAGGAAGGTTCCCTCTAGCCACATACAGATTCCTAAGGCTGGACGTCAATCATTGGCACAACAGATTGAAGTGCAAATCGTAAGGAAAGTCGCACAACGAAGCATTGATCTAACCGACCTTTTCCACTCAATGTCCAACCTTGCAGATAAGATGGATATATATGGTGCCAAGAGCTATGTGCTTTTGTTTTTGCACGCAGTAAGCGTTACCAAAGGTAGCGCCTCGATCCCATCGCCCAACACTATCGAATGTCCTTCAATGAAACTCATTTGGGATTCGCCCAACTCTTTTTACATAATTCTACTTTTTGGCAGACTGTTGACAGATTTCGAGTCCTTCAATGAAACTCATCCGGGATTCGCCCAACTCTTGTTATGTAATTCTACTTTTTGGCAGAGTGTTGACTCGTCAACACTCTGCCAAAAAGAAGCAGGATTATGTAATA